GTTACCAAATGAGCCTAATTTTGCTATATCAGCTAGTTGAGGTGTTCGTTCTGCCTTCGCTATGTTGGCACAGCAACATAATTGAACCTCAAGATTCATTTTCTTTTAATCTTTGCCTTAGCATTCTCAGCAACCAAGCCAAGAAAATTGGTGAATTTGAGCATCATTATCTAGGACATGTTTTGTGTGTTCTATTCAACATTGTAAATGGGTTCATGCTATTGAGCTTTAAAATTGGTTTTATTCAAGTATGTTAGAAATATTGGATCCTTTGCTTTCTTAATGTCAATTATAGTGATATCTGTTAGTTTTGCTGCCGAACCATTTACATTTGATGTGAATCCTTTGAAGAATAAATCGTTACTACACCAATACAGAAAGAGGATCAATCAGTACTTTACAATGCTAAATAAAGCACAATGAAATGTCAATCGTGCTCTCTCCAGTGAAACATTCATGCTTTTCAGTACTTTTGCTTCTTGCCGAAGTTCAAAATTGAAACACTCTTATTCATGATGCAGGTGTCATGTGGGGGCACACACTCAGTTGCATTAACACGGGATGGTCGCATGTTTTCTGTGAGTGTTGTGACATTCTTTGAACCATTTCATCATGTTTGAAATATATATTAATGGATGCTGAGGCCTTTGGGCTTGAGAACTCAGCAGAGGATCGCTGATTCAGGATAAATATAAAAATCAGGAAGCGGAAGAGTTGGCCACTTCAAGAGGGTGGTAACCTTTTACAAGCCTAGCCTGATCTCTAGGCATACCATTCTGTATGACACAAGCTAACTAGACTACCCTCATTTCAAATTAGTTTCTTCACTGCATGCCGAACCATGCAGCACCTCAAACTAACACCCAAAAGAGTTGTCAATGTTTTGTAATGAAATAGACACTCCCCATTCAACAAACCTTGTCCTCAAGGTTCAACGTTTTTTGGAACACCAACCTCCTGATCAGTTCAAGGGAATGCCATCAAAATGAAATGTGATCACTTGAAGAGGTTTTTTTTCCCTTAAGTATTGCTTTGAGGGAATCCTTCTATCATTGCATATCTGGGTAATTCAGTCTTCATTTAGCACTGAATTATTCCCGGGAGTGCCTTTGTAATAATCACTACAAGAGGGATTGGTCACTTTATTGGTGGTGGGGTTTTTTTTTTTTTCGTCGTTGTTGGGGGGGGATGGCATACAAACCTTTCGAGTTCCCTTTTTTGAGGGTGGAGAAGCCTCCTCGGAAAGCCTAGCCTGATCTCATACTAGTTTCCCCATCGCATACCAAGCCATATGGCATCTAGACAGACACACCAGAACGTAAAACAACTCAATTGGAACTTGTAATAACCGCTAAAATTCAACTAGTCTTACCATAGAGAAAATATAAGTAGTCTCTGGTAAAACAGCTACATATATCCCCAGCCAAACATCATAAAGACGCCTTATTTTGGGTTAAATGCTACTAAATGACCATCTTTTTGTCTTTTGATCAATGATGCAATTTACTTTGACCATTGCAGCGTGTGATGTATCTTATCTGATTTTTTGACTTTTCTAGTTTTCTGTTAAACCTGAGATCCCATGATAGGTCTCAGCAATTTAAAAATGTCTTTTTTTTTTTAATTTTTTTGCATGATATATTCATAGATCCCTAGGTAATATCCATGTAGACTAATTGGTTTTGTACTGACAGTTCGGGCGAGGTGACCATGGCCGTCTAGGATATGGAAGAAAGGTGACAACTGGTCATCCATCAGAGGTGCCCATAAACCTCCCCCCCATTGGCGGTGAAGCTGAAGGACGCTGGTGTGCGAAACTTGTTGCCTGTGGTGGCCGACACACCCTTGCTATAGTAGAATGGAGTACTGGTGAATCTGAGCCATAGCCATGAAGTGGCAGTTCCAAAACTTCTGGTTTGATCTAGAGTTCTGTCTAGCTGGACCATATAAGATTTACTCATAATGTAAAACGTTAAGCAATATCGGATATATGAACACCTGTATAGGAACTCGTTCAGAGTTGGCATCAAACATGGCACAGTCAAGAACCTCCATAATCTGAGGATGGGGCGTACGAGAAATAATTTTTGTTATGTTTCATGTGTTCCATATTCCAGTAAGTTTGGACGACATGATCCTTATTTTGTGATGCATTATGCAGCTGTCGATGATTATTGGGCTTCCTGCATAGTGGGATGGCATAACTGTCTATCAGAGTGGTACGTATAATACATGTAAAGAACTTGAACCTTATAACATTATGAAAGTACGATATGATGCCTATGCAACAGTTGTTCTAGACATCAAAAAAAACATACATGATAAATGGCAAGCATGGGTCTATAAAACCTAGCAGCAGCCATTTACCCAATTGTTTTCAAAAGGGAAATGGTGGAACAATAGCGTAAATTATTTCGTTTTTGAGGAATGACAAAACAATTAGAATTTTTTTTGAACCAATTTGTAAAGAGACATTTGAGACCTGAATTGAACTAGAAGAATCATGAATGTTAGAATTTAGAATTTTGGAAATATAACGAATTATGCTATGCATCAACATAATCTTTGTATGTATATGTTGGAGGATCATAAGGTTGAGAAAATAGAATTTTGTTAGATTTTGACCCCAATAATTCCAGCAAAGCAATGTCTATGTCAATGATAATTCAAGATTCCAACAAAGTAATGTCCAATATGTGAGATTTCAGCAAAATAATAATGTTGGTAATAATAATAATAATAAATAAATAATCAATGGCATAGAATATTTTTACGTGTATTTCAAATTAAATAGTTGCAATATTGATCTCAACTTGACCTTATAAAATAGAGATTCAATAGTAAGAAAGTTAGTTATCCTCATTTTTTTTTTTTTAAAAATGCGATTTTTCTCTGGAATTTGGATAAATATATCCTACATTATAAAATGTATGCAGAGTTTTAAGTCTAACTATTTTTAACTTTCTTATCTATCATATTTTTACTTAATTAATATTACTTAAAAATTTTGTTTTCATTAAAAATGACGGACAAGTCTTTATGTACCTGAGTACAAATCTATATAATAAAACACATAGCAACTTGAATTTTTATCTCCTACATATTTTTCCCCTTAAAAACATTACATCACTCATTTCTATCGCATGTTTAATCATTTATATATTTTTCTCTTAAAAATATCACATTACTCATTTATATCATATATTTAATCATTTAATATTTGATTAATTTGTATATACATGTTGAAAAAATTTAATATAGTGGAATCAATTTTTTGGCACTCAAATTTTATATTTTATCGTGCCTTCAGGCATGAGTTATGACTAGTTTGAATATGTTAGAGATAAGACTACCTACTGATTACCTCTTTTAAATACCAATACTATGGGTGTTCATCTTATCCTACTGGTAGGAATTATAATATTCTATCTTTCTACCTGATATTTTACGGAAAAAAATTTTTTAGTCTATCCTAATTGATCAAGTGTACTATTCTTACTTGAATTCTATCCAAAATAATCAAGCAAGGAGTCAGGTAAGAAATCAAGTCAACACATATTTTTTAGTTATTAATTTTTGAATTATTTTAATAATTTAATTAAGTAACTTGTACTAATTAACTAACACAATAAATCAATAACACTAAAAAAAACATAATAAATTCGATAATACATAAACAATTATAATAAAACACAACAATATAGTTATAAACATCAAAATTTGTAAGTATTCCGCATTACTATCCGATTTTTTACGAAATACCAAAAGATTCTGTTAGCTTACCGATTTTTTTGGTTAAACAATCAGTAAGAGCAAGTTAGATAAGATAAAATCGAAGATTGCAAATAATTAGAAATTTGAACGCCCCTACCCTAATCAATACAAACACTACTAACACAAACTTTGTGCATTGAATATCACCTCTTTTCTATCTTTTGACCATTCATAAATACTACTAGCAGAACCCGTATGCATTGTTTACCACTTCTTACCTAAGCTTTTGATCATTTATTCCACTTTTTAAACCAATTAATGTTTACAATGGTGCACTATGAGAATAAAAATGTCCTGGACAAATGGTAAAGCATCCCCTTGCCATTTTAAATTGAGCAATATGGTGACTAAATTGTTACCTAAATTTTGTATTTTAAATCAATGCATGAGATTGGATTAGTAGGATCCATTAACTCCACTAAATATTCAATACATAAAATTTTAATACATCACTTGAGATATAAGATTTGATAAAAAAAATTGTACAGCACAACTTTAGCCTTTTAAATTAGAACAATATGAGGGATGATATGCCCTTCTACAAAACAGTTATGTATTGTAAAGACCGCCAATTCAAAATTATTTGACTGTGATTAAAATGACCCTTCAAATATACCCAAAATATTTTACTAGGAGACTTTTACTTGCCTCCCAAAGCTCAATTTTGATACTATGTTAGAACATCTAATTCAAAAATCAATTGAGTATAGGTCAAGCGGCCCATCAAGTATATGAATCAACCTTAAATTTACTTAATTTTTGGATGTGGATAAATCTCTTCATATGTATAACCTTATGTACGACAGCTTGATAGCTATTGCTTTGCACAAGTAGAATTCTTGTCCCCGTACCTCTATACGACAGGAATAAAAAATTTTCAGCATATCCAGAGTTCTATAAGCATAGATAGTAATAAACACAGTAACATAATATCTATTTCTCGCTCAATGAATAGAGATGAGTTTTACATAGACGACTACTAGAAAATAATGCACAAGATGTAGCATTAGCCTATTGACATTTGGTCCGCCATTGTAATCCCAATGTGCCAAACCCGATTTTCTTTTATTCTATTATCTCCAATCTCTCCTATTCTAACCTATTTTATGTACACATATACACAAGCTTTGACATACTTCTAGTGCAGCTATCCCAGGTTAAATATGGTAGATCATTGCAAATTCTCCCTACACTTTACACAAAGTTTGGGCATGAGAGTTGTATATCTACTTGTAGACTACAGCTGCAGTACCAGAACTATCAGGTTCATGTGTTATGCCTGTGGCTTCATATTCAGCGTCAAACCTCTCATCAGGTTCATGTGTCATTCCAGTGGCTTCATATTCAGATGCAATGCCAAACCTCGCAGGTTCATTTGTTATAGTTTCATATTCAGCTGCAGTGCCCGACCTCCCGGGTTCATGTGCCATACCAGTGTCGCCTGGAGCCTCATAGTCATAGCTGCGGTAGGCTGGTCCATATCTGCTGTTGAACATGCCAGAATGCAAAAGCACCAGATACAGAAACTGGCTCACTGCTGCTATTGCGACAAATGCTTCCAGTGTTTGCTGCAATTCACCTGCTGTTAGAAATATCTAGCAGTGACATATATATCCAAATATCATGTTAGATAAATCGCATCACCAAGCGTTTTCCTCTATGCCCTCCCAGAATCATCTCCTTGCAGACAAAACTGCAACAAGAAATCGAACGAGAGATATAAAGATCCAGACATGTTAGAGAAATCCAATCACCAAGAATTTTCCTCTATCCCCTCCCCTTATTATCTCTTTGCACACAATAATGCAATAAGAAATCTAACAACAAAACACCAATGCATTGGAGCAATTAGAGTGATAAAGACTTACAAGGCAAAAAATACAGTAACAAAGAGTAGTTAGGCCCATTTGATGATGGTATCTGTATTGGACTCCCAAGCTCTCTCTTCCCAACACAATAAACAAAAATATAAGCAACCAATAGTAGTGGATTAGGTCAAGATTACAGGCCATGGGGTCCTAAAACATGCTTCATTATGAAGCCAGATTTTCCTCCAATTGACTAAATTTTTGGACATTTGCTTGTTAAATGACGTAAACAACATGCCCAATCTATTCACCTTTAAACTAAGGCAGCTCAGTGCACGAGCCAATCAGAAATTGGATGTTTGAATTGAAGTTTGGCGTTTAGATCAAGATGTATTGCGATATCAACTCTCTAAGTCTAGAGTCTGAACATGCCCTGTTTCACTCTTGCTATCCTGGGGTTTGAGAAAGTGATGGTGCTAGGATATAGAAGTCCAATGCTGGTAAACATGCAAATTCGATGGACAAAATCAGTTGCTTGTGTCTAAGGGTAGATTGTGAGGAGTCCACTGCTCCATGTTGGATTTCTTATCTCAAACAATTCCTCCTGGTATGAGAAATTAAAAAGAGAACTCAATAATGATATCAATGTTCACGAATGTACTTATCTTGACAATATGTACATACACACCACCAATGGAGCAAAGTTTCTTCCACAAGCAGCATGGAAAGCATTACATTCGAAAATGAAATTCAACAAGTTTTCAACAACAGTATTTTCCATTCATTTCATAAGCTTTTGGTGCCATATTGTTCAAAATCTTGGTGTTAAATTGGAGATAGTTTACAGTAATTTAGGTCATTGAAAAGTCTACACCATAATGGTAATAGCTTGAAAACAGCAACAATATTACCTTTTTTTTCAAGCATTAGTTCTGGGATTCGATTTGATAATCTATCCTTCACATTAGAGCAAATCAAGGATGTCTTGCGCAACTATTGCCTCTTGATAACTTTGGAGAATTAACATAATATTAGAGAGAAACAGAGAGCGGTCAAAAACTTTTAACCTAACTCTCATACATCACTTGTATTTATGGTTAACCTACAATAATAAGAATTACACATACACCCTCTTACTATTAACAATTTACACATACTACCCTACTATTCTTAACACTCCCCCTCAAGCTGGACTATATATATCATATAATCCAAACTTGAAACAAATAGTTGTAAGACGTGTACGACTCAATATTTTGGTAAATATATCTGCAAGCTGATCTTCAGATTTCACAAATGGAGTTGTAATCTCCCTAGCTACTATCTTGTCCCGAATAAAGTGACAATCAACTTCAATATGTTTGGTTCTCTCGTAAAATACAGGATTGGCAACGATATGAATAGCTGTCTGGTTGTCACAGAACAACTGTAAAGGAAGTTGAACTAGAAACCCAATTTGCTGGAGGAAGTGTAATAGACAAGTCAACTCACTCGTCATATGTGCCATTGCCCTATACTCAACCTCGGCACTAGATCTTGCTATTACGGGTTATTTCTTACTTTTTCATGACATAACATTACCTCCTAAGAAAGTACAATAACCAGTGGTTGATCTCCGATCAGAAAGAGAGTCAGCCCAATCAGCATCTGAGAAACCTTTCACTCTAAGATGTTCATTAACTCGATATAACAGTCCAAGTCCGAGAGCTCGTTTGAGATATTGCAAAATACGAGTAATTGCCTTCCAATGTGGTACTCTAGGACATCTCATTAACTGACTTACTATACAGACTGCATAGGAAATATCCGGTCGAGTAATAATGAGATAATTAAGCTTCCCAACCAATCTGCGATACCGACCCGGATTTTCAAACAATGCACCATCATCTATCGATAATTTCTGACTCGGATTCATAGGAACATCAATTGGTCTACCACCCAGCAAACCTACTTCCTCAAGCATGTCAAGTACATATTTCCTTTGGGATAAACAAATACCCTGTTTAAATCGAGTCACCTCAATACCCAAGAAATACCTAAATTTTTCTAAATCCTTAATATGAAATCGATCCTGTAAAAATATTTTGAACTTGATAATCCCCTCAAAATCATTTTCAATAATCACAATATCATCTACATAGACCACCAAATATGACATATCTAGCATTTGTCTGTCTATGAAACACAGAATGATCTGTCTGACATCGAAGAAGACCAAACTCTAAAACTGCATCTGAAAACTTATCAAACCATACCCTTGGTGCTGCTTCAAACCATACAAAGATTTTTTTAACCGACATACACTCTTACCATACTCACCCTAAGTAGTAAACTCAGGTGGCTATTCCATGTATATCTCTTTAACCAAGTCACCATGTAAGAAGGCATTCTTGACGTCTAACTAAAATAAGGGCCAATCAAAATTAGTAGTCAAAGAAATCAAGATATGAACAAAGAAAATTTTGACAATAGGAAAAAAAGTCTCCTCATAATTAACACCATAAGTCTGAGTAAAAATCTTTGCAACAAGCCTGGCTTTGAGACGCTCCACAAAATCATCTGGATGAAATTTAACAATATACACCCAACGACAACCAACAATTCGTTTACCAGAGGGTAAAGGAACGAGATCCCAAGTCCCATTATGATGTAAAACATCCATCTCCTCCTCCATAGCTTTCCTCTAACTCGGATCAGATAATGCATCCTATAAATGCTTAGGAATAGATATAGTAGATAATTAAGAAGTAAAACAGGAGCAGACAAGAGACAAGGCATCATATGAAACAAAATAAGAAATGGGATGATTAGTAACACACAAACGAATACCTTTGCGAAGAGCAATAGGTAAAGAGTCTAAATTATCTGATGTACCCGGATCAGAAGGCGGCAAGGAAGACGGTACGGGCACCTCAGTCGATGAGCGAGGACGGCGAAAATAGACACGAAGAAGTAAAGTAGATGGTAACACAGTAGGCAGCAGAATATCTAAAGATGAAGAAGGAAATGGTGGTATAGGAGAGGATCCAAAGTCCAAAGGCTGAGAAGGTGTTGAAAAGTATGGAACAGACTCTTCCAACGTGACATCGGCATTAGTAAAGTATTGGTGCAGAGAAGGACTGTAGCAACGATACCCCTTTTACGTGCGGGAATAACCAAGAAATATATATTTGGTAGCTCGAGGGTCAAGTTTATCAAACTCAGGCCCCAAATTGTGAACATAACAGACACAACCAAAAACCTTAAGAGTAAAAAAATAAAGGCTTACCAGAAAATAGAACAGAATGTGGACTTTGCCCATTTAACATAGAGGATGACATACAATTGATAAGATGACAAGTAGTAAGAACAGTATCACTCCAATAATATCGGAGAATATTCATCTGAAATAACAGGACACAGGTGACTTCCAACAAATGACGGTTCTTGTGTTCAGCAACACCATTTTGTGGAGATGTGTAAGCACAAGAAGTCTAATGAATAATGTCAATTTTACTAAGATAAACTGAAAAAGGATCAGATTCATATTCCCGAGCATTATTGGAACGTAAAGTACGTATACAACAACCAAACTGAGTTTTTATTTTTTTACGAAAAGTCTCAAATATAGAGAATAATTCAGACCGATCTTTCATAAAAAAATAACCAAGTCACACGAGAATAGTCATCCACAAATGTCACAAAATAAAGATATTTATTAAATAAAATATTCTTTATTAGACCCCATACATCAGAATGGACTAATTCAAATGGACTAGACATACGATTATTGACTTTAGACTGAAATGACACACGATGATGCTTACTATGTTGACAAGCTTCACAAGACAAAGACGACACATAACTAAAACTGGGAACTTGGAGCTTCAGATTCTGGAGAGAGGGATGTTCAAGACGACAATACCATTGAAATGGAGACAACGGGGTTTATAGAGCCCGGGTAAGTGAATCAAAGTCAAGATAATATAGGCCACCAGCTTCATACCCTGTACCAATCTTTCTCTTCATCTTGAGATTCTGAAAGACACAATAAGAGGGATAAAAAGTTACAGAACAATTGAGAGAATAGGTAATCTTGCTGATGGAAAGTAAACTAAAAGGAAAATTGAGAAACAAATAACACGGAGGATAGGGACATATCAGGATTCAAGTGAGTAGTCCCCAAGCCTGAAACTTTAGAACAAGTACCATTAATAAGAGTAACACTACGTGTGAAAGTAGCAAACTGATTAGTAATAAAAACATCAGACGCGTCAGTCATGTGGTCAAAGGCTCCAGAGTCTATGATCCAAGGACTGCGAGCAGAGGACAATAAATAAGTGGAAGCAGTACGTGACTGGGTAAAAGTAGCTGTGGAGGAAAATGGGATTACCTGTTGCTGAGACAGGAACTAAGCATACTCTTCTCGTGTAATAGTAACCGATCCAGTGTCTGGTGGAGCTGATCAAGATATGGAAGCCACAACAAAGGTGTCATGCTGATAAGAAACTTGATTCGCAATACCAGAAGATTTTTTATGTAAATCCCAACAGAAATCAACAGTATGCCTCCACGACTACAGTGAGTACAGGAACGTGGTCCACTACAGCCCCCACGACCACCTATACGGACTCCCCTACGACCTCTTCGACCACAACGACCACCTCGATGACCATCACTATGGCTACTAAGAACCACAAGAGCTGAGTGATCAGTTGAAACACCAGGATTGATACCTGAAGTACACAAAGTAGCACGATGTATACGAGAGAAAACCTCAAGTAGTGAGAGAAGAGTAAAACTGTAACGCCCCAAAAACCACCCTAGAAGGCATTACCTTCTAAAACCATTCATACCATGGGAACAACTAATAAAATCCATAAATAACTTGGGGTCCTTAATTTAATAAAATTCGGACAGAGTCTCCTTTGTTTGGGGAGCTCTACCCAAAACACAACCTGTGCAATAATACTACATGGACCACATCAGGTCCATTTATCCCTAAAATATTTACAATATTATCCAAAAGAATAAGCCCAAACCAGGCTACTACATCAAAAGAATTACATTTGAACTTAGCAGCGGAATAAAACAAAATACTAGACTTTATATGATTGTAC